ACTTGTGGAATATATGAAAAGCCCTCTTTATGATCAGCTTGGGTCCTAACTTAAAAGTGGATTGGACAGAAACCTGTAAGATCCAAAGTGTCTTTCCCACTGGCCCTGCTCGGCATCTGAGAACTATTGGTTAATTAATCGAATCATTCCTCAGTGTTTAAGAATAAAGCTTGGAAAAAAGAGGTGTAGGGCTACCAGTCACAGGAGTGAAATGTCTTGATTCTGCTACGTTTGTCTTTTCTCCCTGGGTTAACCATGAAGGCATCTAGGAATATGCAGCTGGAAGGGGACTGGGTAAAGACCCACGGATGGATGATATCTCAATGCCAACAAATTTGCTAAATTAGTTGATTGGCTCAAGAAGGCCCAATAAGAAGAATGCTTCCCAAAGAGGGGTACAATATCATATGTTAATCGAGATGGCTTTTGGAGGTCTCTGTCTCTGAATGAGTACTTTCTTATTCTTCCAATCTACTATTTACTTAAGCATTCTCTTCTATTGTTTGTGAGGGAAACTGTTTTCCATTTAGTAGTGATGAAAATTTCCCATTGAAAATGCATATATTTAGCCCAGTTCAATTCCCCATCAGGGCACATGCCTGGGTTGCGGGCGTGGGGCAGGCCTTCATGGTTCATTCAGGGGAGGAAAGTCAAACTTGTATTAGGCAGCTGATTAATGATTCTTCCTCATCATTGATGTTTCTGTCTCCTTCTTCCTTCCTTTCTGAAATCAACAAAAAATATATTTTTCAAAAAAGCATATATTTAAGTTAAAAAAGTGAGTAAAATATTGAGTAGTGAATAATGGCATCAGTGGTACCTGGAATATCAAAAGTCCCAAAGGGTGGTTCATAAATGATGGAATTTGGGAACCAGTGGGCTAGTGGACAGGGAGCTTTGAAGAAGAACCGTGCCCCGGAGAACTGGAGGGGGCAGGACACCCTGTGCAGGGTGTGGGGGGAGAGAGAACATCGGGAAGGCATCTCCACCTGTCCGCAAGAGGGCGTCTAAAGAGACTCTGTCTGCCAGCATGTTCCCTCTGGTGGAGTAGCATTGTGTTCAGAGAGGAGAGGAGCCTGGTATGAGGAGAGAAACCCCCAGCATCCCAAGGTCCCCTGCTCTGCAGAGACTGTGTCCTTACCAGTGCTGACAGCATAGGTTCCAGAAACTCCCCAGCTGCTGTTTCTCCACCTACATCCAGCCTAGTCCCCCGTTCCATTTCCACCGGAGGCAGAGATGCCTCAAGGCATGAGTGTTCTGATAAACTGATTTTGACACCAAAATTGCTCTTTGCTTTACAGAGAACATCTTTGAGGTTTATTGTCCCCTTTGTCCTCTCAAGTGGCCCTGGAAGGGCAGCGGGGGGGTGGGGCGCAATGGATAGAACATGCATTTGGTTTTGGCAGCTGCATCCCAAAACTGTGGTTCCCCTGACTGTCCACGGAGCATGCTCTGCCTTCAAGTGCACGTACGCCTGTGGGAGTGAAAACGAGAGGGCACGGGTATGGTTGTGGGTGTCTGTTTGTGTGAAGGGTGAAAAGGAATCTTTGCAGGAGTAAAGACAGAGATCAGTGAGCCTGCCAAGCCTGGGGAGGGGGGGAAGGGAAGACTGCTCTTGGTGGAGGACTCCCTTCTAAATCAGCAAATGCAGACTATGGTGGGAGGCTGACCTTTTACTGTGACTGATGTCAGCTGCAAGTTGTAACCTCTTGTCATTAATTATAACCCAGCATACCTCTGGCTGGCTCTCCAATCGGCCTTGGTCTTCCTCTTCCTCCCTCCCCACCACTTCCCTCCTTGTTTCTCACCCCACTGAAAGGCTAAGGTTGCGAGCTAGCTAGGAGATGAAATGCTTTTTAAAATAATGGGCCTTATAAAGCCAGAGTTCATTCTGTGCATTTACATTTACTGCAAAGGGATTTTCTTCTGTGAGAGCCTGAGATGGTCTGAGGAGGACCATTTCTTTCTATTCATTTTAGGGAAGCAAAACCTTAGACAAACAGGATCCAGAACACACCCAAAAAAGTAACATATTCATCAACCGAGACAGCAGTGTAATAAAGCATTTCTCATACTCCTTTTGGAAAACATTTGCAAGCATATTGTTGCATGATTGGGAACCCAGAAAAAAATAATTTAAAAGTAAAGTTGATATATATATATATATATATATATATATATATATATATATATATTCCAGAGCATTCTGTGCCTGGGAGAAAAAAAGACACTTGGCTAAAAGGTCTGAAAAGTATAATAATAATAAAAAAAACTGTTCCATTTCTTGTGAGAGTTGATTAGGAAATTGGTATTCGCTTTGTGTGAGCATCTTTGGTGTTTAACTCAATGGAAAGAATGAAAAACTGCAGACAGTTTATGTAGACAGTGCTGGCTTCCAAGGCTTGAGACACACTGTCACACAGGGCCCTGTGCTGAGAAGAGCTTTGCACGTAGTTCTGCGTTCTGCTGTCCCCATCCTCAAGCTTGACTTTAAACAGAGGGCTTCACATTCTCATTTTGCACACGATAAAGCCATTCCTATACAGGGGCATTCAACAGTAAAGAATATAAATGGTAGGTGGAGTCAGTATAAAACTTGGAAGAGGTTGATGTCTCCTGGGCCAATATTTTTTCTGGAAATAGTGCAACCTTGAATAAAACAAACATATATTGAGGCTTGCATTCCCCCACAAATCTAAAGTTGCACATCATCTTAGTGGTTTTTGTAATCTGAATAATTAACTTAGCCTACAGTGCACCCAATTGTCCATAGTTTGCCTTTTGCTTTGGGTACTTGGTCCAAAGCCTTTTAATGGTTTTCTATTTAACTTTATCAGTTCATTCATCACACAGACATCTATCTTACCTAATAATAGACAAACATGTAAATTGGCCATACTTCCACTATGCCCACAGCCAAACAGAGTGAGTAAGCAAATTAACCCAATAAAGATGGCGGGTTAATTTGTATATGCTGGTGTGGAGCGGCTGGGAGGGGCAGGATACCTGCTAAGAGGGGGCAGGGGGAGCTGTGGAAAGAGCTACAGGAGTAGTGCTTCAGACAGAAGTGAGGATGTGTTGGCTCCTAGGCAGTTGGGAGTGAAGCCAGGGGAAGGAAGGCCTACTCTTGCAGGGATATCGTGCAACAGGCCTCTAGTGTGTGTGTGTGTGTGTGTGTGTGTGTGTGTGTGTGTGTAATATAAATATATATATATATATGTATGTGCAAAGTGTCCCCTTGGGAGTTCAACCAGGAGATCTGGAGTTTGATCGCTTGCTATGACATGCACTGACCACCAGGGGCAGCAAGGAACAAAGGAAGGCTTGGGCTGGCTGGATGATTTTTATTTTATTTTTGAGATTTGTAGAAAAAGAATGCATTACTCTTGTGCCTAGATTATCCTTTTTTTTAAATTTATGGATGTCTATAACATTAAATCCATCCTTAAAATTAATTATTATTTCAGAAATTATTTTATAATAATGGCTCCACCTGAGTCTTCAGCACCATATGGTACAGTGGTTGGGGATCCTGTTAATCAGGAAGACCATAGGTACAATGCTGATTGAGTACTCTGACTAGTGTAGGAATGTGCCACAAATTGGTTTTGGGGGGAGGGGACTTTATTCTTTTAGATTTATAAAAATAATTCACAGGCTACTCTTGGACAATGGGATTTCAAGTTGTAAAAAGCGCCTTTCAAATTTTGGATACAGAACTTACTGGTGCTCCAGGAGTCCTTGGAAAAGAATTTGAGGAGTTCTGTTTTTCTTATGAACCATATTCAGGGAGATGAATTACTTTTCCATGCCGTGAACTCAAGTAAAAAGTGAGATGCAATATCAGCAACGACGGGACTGCTCATTTAGGGATGTCCCACTCCACAAACTCGGATAATTTCCTGTGTTGTGTCTTGGGCCAAAAATCTATTGAAAGGTTATGATTTTGAGAATGCAATATCTTCTGTGTGAAAGACAGCCATTGACAATATATTCAGCACGCACATATATTGACTTGAATTTCATACAGGCTCACATATGAAGATCTCAATTCTTTTAATTATATTACTTTGATACTTTAATTATATTAATTTAATCCATCGTTTCTAGTTCCTAACATGGGCTTTCTAATTATGTTGATAAACATGTATACTTAGCACTGAATTTTGGTATTGTGAATAGTTAAACTTCAAAAAACTTCTTTTGACATGTAATCATGTATTATTTATATTCTGCTCCGTTTGCTTTATCATTTTATCTATACATCTATATGTATTTTCTGAATTATTTAAGAGTAAGTTGGGGACATTGTGCCTTCTTACCTCTAAATAATATAGTTTGTAATTTAGGAGCAAGGACAGTCTCTTATATAAGTATAGTATCATGATAAAAATCAGAACATTTAATATTGATAAATGCTATTTTTAACTCATAGTCCAAATTCTTGTGTTGTTAAATATATCAATAATATCTTTTATGACAGTTCCTCCCCCCCTCCCTTGGTCTAAGATCCAACCCAGAGTCATACTCTATATATCTCTCTTGTCTACTTCATCTTGGAATGATTATTAAGCCTTTTTTTGGTCTCTCTTGACATTGTCACTTTTTCATTTTATTTATTTTTGCCTCCCCATCTCCAACCCTGAGGATACTCAGATAGAGGAATCCTATCTAATAAAAGAGTAATATGCATATTGACCATCACTCCAACACACAAGATGGCTGCCCTCATGTGGACACAAGATGGCCACCACAAGATGGCCAGCAGAGGAGGGCAGTTGGGAGGGACCAGGCCTGTAGGGGAGGGCAGTTAGGGGCAAACAGGCTTGTCGGGAGCAGTTAGGCATCAATCAGGCTATCAGGGGAGTGGCTAGGTGGTGATCAGGCTGGCAGGCAGAAACAGTTAGGGGCAATCAGGAAAGCAAGCGTATGAGCAGTTGGGAACCAGCAGTCCTGGATTGTGAGAGGGATGTCCGACTGCCTGTTTAGGCCTGATCCAACTTGATTGGGCCTAAACAGGCAGTCAGACATACCCTTGACAGGTCCCAGATTGGAGAGGGTGCAGGCTGGGCTGAGGGACACCACCACTCCCCATGCACAAATTTTGTGCATCGGGCCTCTAGTAATTAGATAGTTACTTGATAAGAACTGATAGTTCACCTGATCTTAGCCAAAAGGCTGAGAAGGAATGGACATTGTCACTTTGTTCAGGCCAGTTATTTTATAGAATGGTTTTCAGTTTGAGTGTGTCTGATCTTTTCTTATGATTAGATTCAGGTTGTGCTTTTTATAAGAAACTAGACACCTGATGCACGAATTCATGCATAGGATAGGGGCGGGGCAATCTGGGGGGGTCAGTGTGGGAATGGGCCAAGGGCGGTTGGCTGGCCAGCCCTGCCTCCTGGTTGAACTCTTGGTCAAAATTCTAGTCAAGGGGACAGTTTGCATATTAGCCTTTTATTAATAGAATACCACAAGTGCTGTTTTTTTCCTCATTGTATCCTATCAGTTGGCAGGTCATGCCAGTTTGTTCTAGTAGTGATAGTAGCTTGCATCATTGGTGAAGGTGGTATTTCCCCACGTTAGAGTTTTTCGCTCTTTTTACTTAGAGTTGCCATTTTGCTCTTTTTACTTACTATGAATTTGCAGGGATGCTTTGAGATCATGAAAATACCTTGTTCCTCATCAAACTTCACCAATCCATTGATTTCATAACCCTATCATTCTGCAATCCTTTTTTGAATGACATTATACTATAAGGAAAAGGGTTTTCCTTCTCCTTCATGCAATTATTTACTCATTCATTTATCTGTAAATATGGTTTTTGATATTTAAAGTGTCAATGTCAGGTTCAGGTTCAACCTGTGCCATGCTTTTAGGATTGCAGACAGTACCATGCATATATCTTCTCATCTATTCAATAATTATATTTGCAGTAATTAAATATATATATATATATATATATATATATATATATATATATATATTCCTCATTGATAAGTTTTATTCAACCTCTGATGAAACAGCTGCAAGACAGACCTCTGTGTAATCTAGTCTGTGTTGAAGGAAATGTGAGTTGTGTATGTATAAGTTTGCTTTATCAATGTCTTTACTACTTATTCAAATATCTTGTTTTCATGAAGCCTCTATTTTTAAAACTTTAAGTCAATAATCATGATTTGAGGTTGGTTACAAATAATTTGAACTCATCTGGCAATAAATGCAGAAATATAAGATGTCCCCCAAAATGTACACACACTTTGAATAATTATAAAGGCAGTGTTCATTGAAATACATTTCATTTTCAAAATTGAGCTATCAGCTGTTAAAGTATATATACATTTTTTGGGGGCACCCATTTTAAACTTCTTCAGTCAATTTACCTATACATTTATTTTAGTTTTTTTATGCATTATTGGAAAAAAGTAGAATATTTTACAGACATTTTCAGAAGAATTGTCACCAAATTGAATGAATTTGCTTTAAATTTGCTTTAGCTTTTGTTCTTATTTTTACAATAGAAGTTATTTAAAACTTTAGAACTATACAAAGTACTTTTGAAGATCCCACATATGATCTTTAAAGAGATTTCTTTAGATTTACATCTCATTGATAGCAGCGTTTACGTATTCAAAGTAAGAAAACAAAGTAAAGGCAGTTTGACATATGTTGGCTAACAGGTAGGCCAGTTTCATGATTTCTCAGCCAATGCATCTTTGAAAGGTGTGATGTTGAGAAGGGTACCCGTTTCCTATGAAAGGATGTCTCACATGGTCTGGCCAGGAAAGGTCAACAGACCAGGGAGCCTGTGGTGACTGCCTTGAGTGGAGAGATGAGAGAAAGGGGAGCAGGGAGTCCTTGTGGATGGCAGAAAGTGGTTCTGACTCACTCTGCTTGTGGGAACTTTACCCTACACTGAAAAGCTATGCAAGTCTTTTATAATTTCCAGTGGTTCACTGGCTCCATTAGACACTCCCCCAGGCCTCAGTTTCCACAACTATAAAATGAAGAAATATTCCCAGGGTAGTCAGCATTAGGTACCAGGTCCCTGTTAGACACTTAGAAACACTCCTTTCAGCCATCCACTGTGAGTCAGTAACTTCGATGGGCTTTCTGACTCACTGCATTTCCTGCCATGTCTGATGCCTGAGCTCTCCAAACAGACAGGTGTTGGGGTTGTTTGTTGGTCTAGTTGTTGCTTGCCCTGGCTGAAGGCAGTTTGCATGGGAAGCCATGGCTTGTATCCAGGGAAGGGACAACAGGGCATTAGACGGGAACCTGGATGAACAGCCCAAGAGATTTGGTAGTGGTTTGGCAGGATCCCCACAACCAAGGAAAATTCCATTGTTGGAAAGGTTTTTGGAAGATTAAATGATTCTTTGTAAACTTGTTTGCAAAGAAGATGGGAAGAAAAGGAGGTAGAAAAGGAGATTGTGTGCGATAGAGGAAAGTCTTGGGAGTTACTGGAGGCCAAAAAGTGAAGAGTACAATCAAGGGAGTGGAACAGAAATGGAAACCCTTCTGAGAAGAAAGCTTTAATGCCAGGCATTAATCAATTCCAATGTAACTGCTTAAGCTAGTTGTATTGAAGTCTAATTAACAGCTGATATTTTAGGTTTAAGAGGCATTTAACCCAACTAGCCACTTTTCTTAAATAACCAACTTTTCTACGTAAGGCTTTCAGTCTGAACATGACAATTGAGGCTAGATTGCATCTATGGGATTAGAATTTTTTTTTAATGTTAGCCTTTTCAATGGGGTGGAATGTATTTCACAGAAAGCATTTTTATTTATTTTTTTGGTATCTGATTTTTGTCAGATTTTCTATGAAATAAAAATTTAAAAGAATTCACTTGCAGAAAAGCATATTGTCCAATGTGTAAGATCCTTTGATCCATTTTTTTTTTTTTTTTAATGAGACTATGAGATGTTTTAGTAAATGACCGGATCTGCCTAGGAAGCCAGAAGGACTAATTTTCGTCCTTGGACTGCTATTAATTGGGTGTGAAATTATGAATGTTCTCTCCTTTGTAAAACAAGGGCCATGACTCCACTGGCAAAGACCCTTCTGGACTGGACAGTGGGAGATCCTGTGTCTGTGTTCCACCCCATGAGGACCCACAAGCCCTGGGAAGAGTGTGCTGACATAAAAGCAAAGCAGCTAGAGTGCTCTGTTCTGCCAGGTCTCCTGAGACACTGGGCACTGGGGCATCCTTTTTTTTTTCTTTCTTTCTTTCTTTCTTTCTTTCTTTCTTTCTTTCTTTCTTTCTTTCTTTCTTTCTTTCTTTTTAACAATGTTTAGAGTAAAACAATTATTCTCTGCATAGCCGTGTTTTCCTCTTCAAGTGAATTTATTACTAATAGGCATTTGCAAGTATCTGAAGAATGCATTGGGCAGAGTTTCAAGGTAACATCCATACACAAATGCACAATCCCACACTCATTGGGTCACTCAAGCCCTTTCTCCATATTCTATTTAAATGCCCTAAACCAGTGATTGGCAAACTCATTAGTCAACAGAGCCAGATATCAACAGTAGAACAATTGAATTTTCTTTTGAGAGCCACATTTTTTAAACTTAAGTTTCTTCTAAAGCCACTTTTTCAAAATAGACTCTCCCAGGCCGTGGTATTGTGTGGGAGAGCCACACTCAAGGGGCCAAAGAGTGCAAGTGGCTCACGAGCCGCAGTTTGCTGACCACAGCCCTAGGGAAATTGGAAAATTTCATTAGAGTGAGTTAGAATTGAGTGTTCACTAATTTACAGCTGCTCTAAAGGTAAGGTTTTAGAGCAGATTCTTTGTCTTAATTCTATATTTACAATGAATATGTAATTATATGTAAATATACATCAGTATCCCAGAAATTAATTCATTCTTTCTTTCCAATTAATTTTTTTTAAGGATATAAAATCCCAACACTGAAAAATAATGAATCCTGAAAAATTCTGTGTTTAGAGATGATGGTTATTGATACATATTCAAGCATTGTGTCATTTATTATTTGTGGCATAGTGCTATTTTTTAGAACTACCTATTTTGCACTAAGTATATTTAGGATTGTGGTTTTAAAATTATAACTAAATAAATGAACCAACCACATTCTTCTTTTTTGTTAACATAATTTTTATTTTTTCAATATTTTCTCTTCCTACTGCATAATTATTTAAATATTATAGCATTGTGTAATGTACAATTAACTAGCCAGGAGATTCAAAGACTTGGGCTCTATTTGAACTATGCTCTGTATCTTCAAGCATATCATTTAAACTCTGTCAGTTTTCTTATCTCCAAATGATGTGATGGAATAAGATGTTATATATGGTTCTTCTCTGACGTCCTATGATTTTATTAGCCTTGGGCTATAAGCAAACTGAGCAGAGTTTCATACTCAATAAGGCAATTTTATCATTATGAGAGGCATTCCAGCTAATTTATCTCCATATTGCCCTTCTTAATAACATGCTAGAAATCCTCTTTCTTTTTGGTTTAGCTGAATAATTGCTTGAATTCTGTCCAGGACCATGTTGCAGCAGAATTTCAAATTTCAGTCTCCATGTTATCTCATTGTCATTCGACTCTGTTGACTGAGAATCCTGGTCTGAGGTCCTGATTCTTTTCGAATCTAAGAGTAATCTAAAACTACAAACTCATATGGAATTGGCAACAATCTTAAAAAATGAATGTGCCTGTCCCAGTGCGAGGGCTGGTGCCTGTTTTTATTGCATGTTAAATGTGTGCACTGAGTCCATTCACAGGACTCATGTGGAGGATTCTATGACTGCTTTTAAACCAGCTGTTGCTTTCCTTCATCCCTTTTTAAAACCATGGGGGAATTGTTTGGAACATCAAATTTATTTCCCGGCAACTCCTGGCATGGGGCAGCATTGAAATAGAGCATGTGTTCAGCTTTCCCAGATGGAGGGCAATAAAAATGAATAAGAAGAAAACTTTGATATGGCTTGGAATAATTTTTATTGTGGTAAAATAGACATAACATAAAATTTACCATTTTGACCATGTACAATTCTGTGGCTTTAAGAATATTTACATTGTGTAATCATTACTGCCATCCATTTTCTGAACTTTTTAAAATCTTCCCAAAGTAAACTTTGTACCCTTTACAATAACTTCCCATTTTTCCCTCCTTTCAGTCTGGGGAATTACCATTCTATTTTCTGTCTCTATGAATA